TGTTTGTGGGGGGGGGGGGTGGGGTGTTTTTTTTGGGGGGGGGCTGAGAGGAGAGGAGGAATGGGGGAGGGAGATGAGGGTGCCGAAGGCGAAGCAAAGGATTGAGCCGAGCAGCCGCTGCCGATAGCTCAGGCCGGGGCAGCAGCTACCCCTACTTCGACGGTTCGGGTTCGCGCGGCTTGTTGCCTACGGGGTGCGTCGCGGGTGTGTCACAGGCGGGTCTGCGGGAGGGGCCGCACCAAAGGTCTACTCGGCCTCCGAGGTACCCGCTCGGGTCGAGGGCAGTGAGGCCGGAGCCAAAGCTCGAGCCCATGCCGTGCAAGCTGTCTTGCAGGCCTCGCACCTTGTCCCAGCTGTTGCCGCCCATCGCCTGACGCGTTGTGGCGCACTGAAGACGGTGTGAAAAACGAGGCTGCGGCAGCGGTGGTCTGGGCCGCGCTAAGTTTGGCTTGCCTCTGCCTGCGACGACGGCACGAGCCTCTCCTGCTCGGACGCGCGGCCGGCCTGATGCAGACCGAGCCGCGCGAGGAAGCCTACGTGTGGCCTCGCAAGCTCAGACGCCGTGCAAACCGTGGAGCCCTCGCACCGAGTCGCTCGAGAGTGCCCGTCTGCCGGAGCTCCTCGCCGCCCGACTCGGAGCCGTCGTCGGATGCCTTCGGGTCGGAGAGCTTCGCGCTCGTCGCCGTGAGGCTAGCCGCCTACCCAAAGAGCGACGTCGATCAGAACTCAAAGGCGCGGTGCAGCCGGCTAGTGCGAGGAAGAGAGCCTGCAGCGAGGACGAGCCCGCCTCGACAGTGGAGCGCACCGACTCCTTAGCTGCCTGTGTGAGGGAGGAGCAAGCGGAGACGATCGAGCCGGCCTCGAGCTTGGAGAGGTCGATGCTCGCCATCGAGTCGCCCGCCGCACGCACGCGGTCCACCCCGCTCGTGAGCCCGCTCGCCATCGTCGTGAATCCGTCGCTGCCCACGCTCGCGCCCGCTGCCGCCATCTCCGCCGCCGCCGCTTTTGCCCGGTCCTGAGCACTACTGAGGCTTTCGAGCGCCGAGTCGGCCGCCATCGAGGCCATGAACCTGAAGGAGTCCATCCTCAGCGCCAAAAAGGTGAACAGCTGTACAGCGTGCTGGTCTGCTCTGTGCCTTCTTTACTCGCCGCGCTTTTTTCTAACGCGGCCTCTCTCGGACACCTCACACGACCCCACACACGGTCTTGTCCGTGCCTTGCGGCCGGCGAGATTACTAGAGGCGGAGCGCTGCTCTAGCCTGCCTCACACGTTACCCCCTGTCGCCGTCTGTCTGTGTTTGTGTGCGTGCAGTTGTTTGTTTGAGCCTTGCTTTTGGCACCGTGCTCCGTGGGTGCTGGGTGGGGGGGCGATCGAGGGGGCGACAGGCTGGGGGGACGTGGCCCTGAGTGATGTGTAAGCTGGCTATGTGTGTCTTGTGAGCTTGTGTGTGTCTGTGTGTGTGTCTGTGTGTGTGTCGCTCGATCGAGCCCGTCGTTTGTTTGGCCTGTATGAGAGTTTCCGGCAACCCAGAGGGAAACCAGAGGGTCCCCAGCACTTGGAGTCCGCCAGTTGGCCTGTATCCATGTTTCCGGAAACCAAAAAGGAAAACAGAGGGGCCCCAGCACTTTGCGTTTCCGGAAATTTCCAGGGAAACTAGATAGAAAGAAGGGTGTTTGGTGGATGTGAGGTTACTGATTGCACTCCAAGTGCTCCAAGTGGTGCTCCATTCTGGCAACTCTCGAGTTTCCCTGACGCCTGAGTCTGAGAGCTGGTCTGGGGCAAAATCTGAGGCAAAACCGAGGAACCCGGCAAAATTACCTGGTATTTTCCAGGTAAACCCGGGGTTTTCAGGAATGCCCGCAAAACATCGGGGGTTTTGCCGGTTCGGCTTATTTTGGGCCCAAACCAGCCTCAGACTCGGCTCAGAGCCCGGAAAATTTGATGGTTTCCCCGGAAACTAGAGAGGAAACTTCCTTTTTACTGTTCCTTTTACCCATCTCACAGTCAGTAGAGAAACACGGAAAAGAAACGAGGCAGGGTGCGAGAGGAAACATACTACTCTCGTGGAGCTGTGAACAGACGTACTTGCGCCTTCGGGGGCAAATCCGGTAGGTTGGGCGTGCTTCACAGCCTCACGAGAGTAGAAATATACATACAGCCAACGTGTCGTCGTCATCTGTCTCTGCGTCCACCCATACCGCGTTGGTGTCGAGTCCGAGGCTCCGAGCCTGACTGTTCTTCACCTTCCTACATACATACATCTCGACTGTTGGGATCCTGAGTAAAGTGGGCCCCTTAACGGCTTATCGCTCCGCTGCCAGCACTGGCGTACTCAAGCCAGTGCAAGCGCGAGAGGTGCGGGGTCCGGGGACTGGCCAAGCGGCTGGTTGGCTCGACGGACCTTCTCGGGAGCGGCCGCACATTGCTCGGTACCCCCCCTGCACTTCTAAGCCCGTCCCTGCTGCTAGGGGGGGGGGGTCCCGACCCCCCCAGCAGCAGAGCGCACTGGACCCAGCTCCCGCCTCCCACCGCCCCCCCTCCCGCCCCCTCGGCTCGTGTTTGAGCGGTACGCTCGAGGCGGTTGTGTTCACCGCGCCTTCGAGCCCAATACACCTTCGTCGTGTCGAGTGCTGGCGTTTTACTAAAGACTTGTGACCATGGTGAGTCTATCTTGTACTACCACACATCAACACTCGGTGTCAGAGCGTCGCGCCTACATCAATAGTCTCATCACCGAGTGATTGCTGGCCTGTGGCGTATGACCTCGCGCGGATATCACCAACGACGAGCATGCGAAGATATTGAGCACTATCCGATGGACTTGTACAGCCCGCTGTGCTCTCCGCTGTGCCACGGCGTATGATGGGCTGCGAGAGCCGTATCTTCCCTCCTTGAAGCAGAGGCGCCGCGAGGCACGAGAGGCGTAGAAGACCGAGAGAGGCTGGCGTGCCCCGCACCGCCCGGTTGGCAGTAGGAGGCCCCGCCGGTGAGACCACTGATTTTGATGCCGACCATAAATTCTCGCAACTCGAACGCATGCTACT